TATNTATACACACACACACACACACACACACACACACACACACATATATATATATATATATATATATATGTGTGTATCTGCATATGCACATATACATGTATATGAAAATGAATATGTATGATGCCGTGGAATTGTAAGACGATATGTGCTCAACTTGTGTGCAAATCCGTATATTCATGTGGTATAAACAATATAAATGTATAAACGAATGTCTATCCCTATGTAATATAAATAAGCATTAAGTTGTATAATCGACAGCCTAACTATGTGTTGTATGTAGATCAGAATATACGTATATGCATACATGCGGTCACATACACAGTGTTATATTCCTAGATACAAGCAGACTTCTACCGCCAAGGACTTGCGCGTATCCAACATACGTAAACACGTTCCGACCTCTAACAGCTGAAGAACATCTAATCTATCCATTCAAAGCTGGAACACAAATCCACACATTACCAATCGACTAAACTCGTTCATAAATTATCAAACGCATACTGTATAGGGTACTTATGCATCCATAGTCGCACACTTGTGGTGATATAAACTACACTCAATCAAAACGTATAAAACGTATACGCACCATGACTTTGCATCCATTCTCGCACGTTTCTTGTGATGGTGAGCTGGTCCAAGAGAAACCGCAGAATGAAAATGCGTAGCGCGGGGGATAAGCTCAGAATGCCTGCGGCACGCACACCGGCAATCACGTCGTTTGTTTTCTGTGAGTGGCAAAGTTCGATGAGATGCGGTTATATGAAGAATGATGCATGTCTTCATGTATACACGTACAACTATATATTGGTATATATATATATAGATCAATATACATATACGCATATACATATATATATGCATATACATATATATATGCATATACATATATATATATATGTATATAAAAACATCAACGCATCAATAAAAAGAATGTTCAGAAATACACGAGAACTTGGAACGAATATTAGAGACTGCAGCAAAAATATTCAGTTCGGAGAGGCTACGTGCAGATGTTAACAACTGTGTATCATTTCCTGTGACGACCATTCTGTTAACGCTGGTATGATCTTAATCTACCGATTGTATTTGGCACACAAAAGTAACCGGCTTTCGGATAAACCAATATCGGAATGGTAGACCATAAAAAGGTGAGCGCGTCTGTGTATAAATAGGTACGATTCGGCGGGATGCAGCTTGCATAAGTAACAGCGCAGAATAAATATCCTGTGCTAATATTGGAAACACTGAATGTAATGCACGCCTAGATGCAAGAGATGTATATGCAGAAACAGTACAGTCACCCAATGCGAAGCTACTATCAGCTATACAACTAGAACACAACACATTAATCAACTCAGCACCGAGTCCCACACACTGATGCCATTGAGCTGTTCCCGCAAGGTTGACTGGACGTTGAATACAGTACAAGAACACTACCCAAAGGCTGGTAATGGATGTATATTGCGTGGAGCATTGATATATCGTGCATGCTAGTGACATACACATTAAACATCAACACCTGTACTAAATATGTGGTCAACGCGGACTATCGGGATACATCACGTCCCAAACAAAAATATATACCAAGTGTATGTTGGTAAGGTTTACGAGTCTTCATCAAGTCACAAAACAAAGCAACATATACTAGGTATATGTTATGAGGGCTTGCAGGTAACCATCAAGTCACAACGAAATATATACCAAGTATATGTTGTGCAGATAAGTAGCCTCCTCGATCTCCACATCCAGCCCCTTCGACTCCAGATACAACTGCAAAGCTTTCCCCACAGTTTTGCGTCCGATGGGCACACCATACAGAGTGTTGCTATACTGGAGGCCTGGTTGGGTATCAAGAGATCAGTAGGGCAAAGATTGCACGGGTTGCAGTATATAAGTGTATGGAAGCGGTCCACCTCAGATTGACGAGTGTGAATGACATTTTATATATATATAC